CAGAATTGATCATCATGCATCTTACTTTGTCTAGAATAGTCTTATTCATTCTCTCAACAACTCCATTTTGTTGAGGGGTATAGGGAACTGTTTTATGCCTAAGGATCCCACTATCCTTACGTAATTGATCAAAAATAACATTATAAAATTCTAGACCGTTATCAGTTCTTAGTACCTTGATTTTTTTTCCCTATTTGATTTTCAATCAAGGTTTTCTAAACTTCAAAATTTTTTAAAAGTATCTGATTTTTGTTTTAACAGAAAAATCCAAACCTTTCTTGAAAAATCATCAATCAAAGATAAGAAAATATTTGTTTCATCCTTGAGTAATAGTAGATGAGGGCCCTCACAAATCAACATGTACATACTCCAGGACAGAAGTAGTCTCATGTTTTCCAGTATTAAAGTGAAGTCTATGTTGCTTACTAAATATATAGTAATCACAAAAATGAATTTTTGAAACATTATCTTTTCCAAATGCACCCATTTTATTCAAAATATGCAGACATTTTTCACTCACATGTGCCAGCCTGTTGTGCCATTTTAAGGTGGCATCAACTCTAGCAGTTAAGGACTCAGCAGTATGACTTGAAACTATTTAAGCTCTAATGACATATATACCGTTTCTTCTGGCACCCTTAAATATTACAAGAGAGCCTTTGAAAACTTTAACAAACCATTTCCAAGTCTAGCTTGGAGACCAATGTCATCTAGATCACCCATAGAAATTAAATTTCTATTTAAATCAAGGACGTACCTTACTCTTTTTAGGGTAAAGATATATCCATTTCCAAATTTCAAAGTCACACTGCCAATTCCTAAGACTTTACAGGCTGCATTATTACCCATTACTACCTTACCTCCATTCATTTCTTTAAAATTTTCTAAATAGGACCTTTTAGAAGTCATATGGAAAGTGCAACCATGGTCAAGAATCCATTCTTGATTCTGGTCAGTATTTTTAGAAAAAATTACAGTATGCTGATTAGTAACAGGTTCAGTAACAACATAGACATCCACAGTTTTATCATCTAGGGATTTGACAACATTTTCCTCATCTATTTTCTTATCCCTCTGTTTATTCTTTTTCTTAAAGCAATCCTTAATAAAGTGACCAGATTTCCCACATCCATAACATTTCCTATTCCCAGTCCTAGACTTTGACCTAGGTCTTCCTCTCCCTTTCTTCTTGTTATTATTATTTCCTTGATAACTCTAATTATCCTAACTATGGTTTTGCCTATTAAGTGACCTCCCTCTAACAAATAAACTCTCAGAATCCCTTCCATGCTTCTCAGTTTTAAGTTCTAGATCCTTGCTCCTTAAAGAGTTAATAACAACTTCAGGAGTCAATGAATCTCTGCCTTATTTAATGGCACTTTTGACATTGTTATATATTTCAGGTAATGAATTTAGAAAAATCACAGCCTTGTATTCATCAGACACTTTGTCTCCCACATTGGTAATATCTTGAACCAATTTATCAAAGATGTCAAAGTTATCTTCTAAGTCTTTAGTCATGTCAATCTTAAAACTAAAGAATCTCTCTAAGAGAAATAGTTTATTTGATAGGGACTTAACTAAATAAAATTCTTCTAGTTTTTTCCACAAATATCTAGCACTATCATGTTTCCCAACTTTTCTCAAAACTTGATCAGATAGATGCAATATAATAGAGATATAGGCAAGTTCATCACATTCAGTTTTCTGTGCTTCAGTCATAGTATCAAGAAAATCACCAGTTATAGCTTTTGCAACTTTTTGTTGAACAAGAACTCCTTTCATTTTTTGTTGCCAAATGGAGAAATCCCCTTTTCCATTACAAACTCCAAGTTCAAACTTAGTTGTCGTCATTTGGAATTTTTAACCAACACAAGAAAATTTATTTGAAGTTCAATGTTCAACAGAAAAGAGGTGATGCAGAATAAAATGTGATAATACACAGGATCACAGAAGTTATTATGTACCAAGAAGCTTCAAGAATCAAGAAAATATTAACACACACAATATTCAAAGTAACAAGAAATGGCAATGTACACAATGCAACAAACTTCAAGTTCCAAATGTCCAAATTCACCAAGATTCTTTACGGATCAGGTCCTCAGGTCAAAGCACAATTTGGGGCATCAGAATCGGAAGCAGGAAAAGGATAATATGAATATATCAGATAGAATCGATAAACGAATGCACTTAACAAAAAATTTAACTACATACATATATTAGTATATACAAAAAGATTGACTTAGTAATTCAACAATTTACTGTATTCACAATATGTAAAACATATACGGCTGGGAAGTACATATTAAATTTTAATAAGGGAAAAATAGTCGCAAACCAGAGGAATGATCCTTCAATACTGATCACTCGAACTAGTGACCAAGAAACATCAAGAACATTATGGGTCACTCAAGAATAATCGCGAACCATCAGTTCGCGAAAATGGACCTGCAAGGGAAAAAACGTGAACTCCACAAGAAATCAATTGTTAGTACAGATTAAGTACTGAAGGGTTTTTCAGAAAAAAAGGATAAGATGAACGAAACAGATCTTTTCAGATTGTGAAATGAATTTTTCACAACCAGATCATCGTTGAAGGAAGCCTTGAAGGCTCTGATACCACTGTAATATTAAAACTCAAGAAATACACCAAGTATTTTCAGATCTCACATAGAGAAAATTAACCAAGAAACTGGACAAAACGACTTCAAGGTTCAATCAATGTTTGGGCTCAGAAATTATCATTGTACCCTTCTGTACAATGGTGAAAACACCAAAACAAACCTAAACCCACAAAAGGAATCCGAACGCAGCTACTTCGACGAGCCAAAATGGAAAACCCTAAACTAACTTCACTAACTCCTTCTGTACAATGGTGAAAACACCAAGGATCACTAAGATTTACTGTTTACACAGAGAAAATTGATTTCCAAATCATAGAGATCTTGGAGAAAATTCGCGAAGAAGACGAAGGAGTAGAGAAGCAGAGAGGACTCGATTTTAGAGAGTTCAAGAGTCACAATAAAAATATCACTCAGTCAACTAGGGCAACCACCAAAGGTCCATTATATTGAAGACAACATCACCGTAGATCAGTTAAGGATCTAATGGCTCGGAGTAGCACAAATGGCCTCATGTTGGGCTCGGGTAGTTGGGCCTCTACCTTTGAATTATCGGGCAATGGAAATATAATTCCAGCAATGGGCTAAGCCCTTTTCATCACAGCCCAATTGTTTAAATTGGATTTTGGCATCACAATCCAAACAAGTATAACTTAAAAAATGACTCGGTGTCAACTGTGATCAAATATTCTGACCTCATCCGATGGTCAGATTATAAACGTAAATAGACCAACTTATTCTACTCATTGTGCAAATCGTCATAGTATATTTGAAAGCAAAAACCAATTTCGGATGAATGACAAAATATGATCCAAAAGTTGGAATGAAAGACATAAAAGACCGTCGCTCTTCTAGCGCTAGCTTGTCGCTTGAGTGACGGGTTCTGCTCTAGCGAGGCTTAGAAGAAAAGCTAGTGATATCAAGTACCATGACCATTGGCAAAAGTTGTTGAGTTTTGTGCCGTGTTTCTTCACTCACAACTTTTCCCCCTCTATAAATAGGACACATGGGACGTCATTTTCTTCACACCAATGATAGACAATCATAAGCATAACATTATCTCTTCTCTCAATCAAATTTTGCATAAACTTTACATAAAATTTTGGTTTTCTTTCATTTGCATCGAGGAGTACGTATGCTGTATTTCTGGTTCGTTGTTCTTGTGTATTGATGTGCTACTCACACAAGAAGAAGTCGTTGTATCTTGAAAGTTGATTGCCATAAAATTGTAAACTACGTTGCGAGGCAAAATCGACTAAAGGACAAAGTGTTAAACACTTTGCATCCGTTTGGCGTAACTTTGCATGATAATATGGTATTCTCTGCACTAATTTGGTAGAACATTTGATTCATTTCCTACCATTACTCTGCCGAAATTTTCATAGAAGATTGATCAAGACTTTCTAGGCGGTTGGTTATCATTCCGTCTGCTCATTTTTCCAACAAAACATATTGATACTGTTCATTAAAGATGGCTAAATTTATGTAGGCATAGAGAAATTAAACCAACACAAATTACACCCTCTAAAATGAAAATCCCAACACAAAATTTTGATCTACCCATGAAATATTCCAGACAACCATCTCAATAGGCAAAAGAAAGATAGAACAAAAACAAAAACCACAAAAGATATTCTATAATTTTTAAAAAAAAACAAGAATAAAATACTCTCTATTTTTAAAAAACACATTCTATTATTTAGAGACAAAAAATTTTGAAATACTTCAACAGCATTTTATATTTAGTCCCCGTTTGTTTTCCATTAATTTCCAAAATGCATTTTTCCCATCACATCGATGTGGGAACTATGCCATATTTTATTTTCCCATTCAAATTCAATTTATGCAAAATGGCAACTTTGCCCTTTTTTGTCATTATTATGAAGTTCTCTTCGGTTGGCGAGAGGGACAGTTGGAGGAAAACTGAAAATGTAAGAACTATTCACCGTCACATGATGTGTCAGACAAGTGATGTCCAAGTGTCCAACAGTTTAAAAATGTATTAATGGTAAAAAAGAATGGCTACTAAACAGAATTTTAATTTTACTATTCTAAAAAAATTATTATTATTTTTCTCTATCTTTTATTTTAACTAACTTTTCCCTAATTATTATACTATTTTCTATATTGAAAAATGAAATACTATAAATACATTTAATTGTAGAGAGTGTATTTGACCCTTAATTTATAGAGTACCTTGGTGTATGATTTTAAAGATTGGCTCTTTAAAAAAGAAAGCATTTCATATTTAAAGAATACGTCGAAAATGCTCTATAAGAATAACATTAATCAGATAAAATAATCTTATTTTAGTTTTTCTTAATAAAAATGAAAGAAAATTATACGCAAAGTAATTTTGAAAATGAAGAAGAGAAGTGCTGTGCTCAAGTCGCTGGCATGACTTTACGAATGACCATGGCTTACAAACTTGCACGATACTAGTTCGACAGACGGACAAAGACAGTCATGTAGAAATACAAAGAGAACAGTCATATTACAAACTCTAAGATTAAAAAGCAAAAGACACACCCACTAATGAAAATATATCACACAACATAGCAAAGAAGGAAGACAGACAGACAGACACGATAATAAATATGTTGGCCTCCCTCATGTACACACAACTTGAGGGAAACCTCATTAGATTCCCGCACAAACTCGTTTCTCGTTTACTAGAGATGGGAAACGAGGTTGGACGATTTGGTTCAATCTCCTTCACCTGGAGATTACACGGCAATTCAGACAAAGAACATTATGTTCTGCAGCTCTGGGTGCAGAGTGTAGAAACTCTGGTCAAAAGAAGCAGCAGCAGCAGAAGAGGAAGATGATGATGATGATGATTCGCGAGACTGGAACTCCATTGCAACCTGCTGGAACAGACGTCCCCTATAAGCAACAAGATCGGCATAATAAACCGGCGGCACAAGTGAAACTGGCTTTGTGCAACGTGCAAAAGTGAAGCACATGTGGTGAATGAGTTTCTGCAGGCTATCAGAAGTGAAGTAATTCTCGTCCCAGAGAACATAGTAGTGAGTAGGTTTGCTGGTCCCAATGCCTCCATAGTGGCTGCACAGGTAGAAATCAAACTCGAACGGGTGAACAATTGTTGTATCCACTACAGTTCCTGGAGGAACATTGCCATCGCGAGCATTTTGAAGAAAGAGCCGAGTCTGGTGCCGTTTTATGGCAACGACTAGTGTGATTGTAGGTTCGTAATCACCATTGTAAATTGCCCTCCTCAGATCAATCAACTCCTCATTGAGGACCATGTCAAACTGACCCTCACTAACCCCATCACGAAAAACCACGATTTTGCTCGGCCTGACTCCGTTGATCCGAGCATAAGTATTCACCAGATCTGAACACATCGTCCCAAAATTTAGAATCTTCTCTTTGCCATTACCCTGTGGACAGACTCTCGCAGCATACCTATTTGCAGCAGGCCAATTAACCGTGCCAACAACTGCAGCTATAGATGGACAAGATGGGTCCTTCGACCCCGGGTGATTCACATCTGCCCCGATGAACATAACATGCTCTTCACCCTCAAAATGAGGAAGCCTTCCACTTAGCTCCATATTGCTTCCTCCAAGTTTTGCATTTATCTTTATACAAAGATTTGTAAAGTATTGGTCTTGCCCTTTGTTTGGAATCGTAATCTTGGACAAACAACACTGAGTTATAACTCCAATTTTTGTTTCAGACACAAATTTAAGATACCTGTAGCCAGGATCTTCTTCCTTTGTCATCACGCAGACAATCAACTGCAGCTTGCCACTTTTTATCCTCATAGCCTCCTTAACAACATGCCTAAGAAGTCCCTCGATCCTACTAATAGATGAAAATTCTCTCAAATTAGCGGATTGATACCAAAGAGGCCCATCCATAAACATTCCAAGATTTCTGCAACGGCGCCTCAAATTGTTGATGAATGGATCTACATGTCGCTGAAATTCATCACCATAGGTGAAGTCGATCAAAGCCCAACGTTCAATTGATTTTCCCTCCACCAAAGATTTTCCAACAAGGTTCCACTGGCATTTATCCTTGTCCACTTTAATCACACTGGGAGAACCGAGCTTCAGATCAGGAGCACCAATGACACGACCAGCAACCCTCGTCATGTTCTTGTCAACTCCAATTTCAAAATTTTTCATGACATCCCTACAACAGATAATTTGAATATATAAATAACACCATAACATCGTCACAAACAACGATTAACATAGAAAAAGTACATTCAACTGAATCACAAGTTGCCAAACACGTCATTTATTCTTCTACACAAATATTTTCACTTCTACATTTGTAATAATTGGTTCTTTTTACAAAGAAACAGGGTAAATTAAGGAATTTCAACTCATTTTCAACTAATCTGCATGCAAGGAGGTTCAAAGTTCTGTACAGTAACATGTCTCCAGCTGAACAGAGCAGTTTGACAAGTTCAGTTTTCAAATAACAAAGACTAGCACAACTTTGTCAAATAATAGATAGCACCAATACACGTAGTGCAGCACCTACATGCAGAACAACCAGAAACGAGGAATACTTATGTCCTTTGGTTCCTTAGATTTAAATGCGAGAGTGCATCATAGTCAAATAAAGCACATAGATATTCAATGACTAGAACTAACAATGAACCCATCACTAGAATTTTGGACGGACAAAAATAAAATGCTTAAGGTCCAGGAATCCTCGTATATCCTTTGCAATTCTTATTCATGAGAAGTAAATTTTCCCCACATTATCAATTGAAAGGTACCATAGAAGATAACAATTGGGGAAACAAGAAGCAAACACAAAAATGCAAATAAAGAAATGAAGGTGATTGTACTCACCCGCAAGGTCCATCATTAGCATTCACCATATTGTAGATTGTATCTTTTCTTTCATGTGATGGAGCAAGAGATAATTTCCTCAAGAACACAGCTGCATCTTTGTCCAAACTTTTCAACTGGTCGTTGGGGTATCTCTGCCCCTCAACTAAGACGCAGAATTCCATGGGCACATAATTGGGCCGGTTATTTTTTGAAAAATCCAAGCAAGGAATGTCCTTGTAGACAATATCCTTTCCCCACTTATCCATAAAATAACGGACAAGGTTGATTTCTGTGGGAGGATTTATGCCATCAGGGTCATCCAATGTAAAGGAAATACCACGGGCATTCCTCGTAGTCAGCCCTGAAACAGTATATTTCTGTTTTGTGACTCTATGAGTAACTTTTACTTTCAGTCCTTTCAGTGCACTGATCACTTGTTGCCTCAACTTTGTGACATCATTTACTCCATTGAACCCTTGAACATGCTCTTTCAAAAACTCTAGTACTGGTAATGGCTTACGAAATGCCAATATCGAGTAGTCTAAGCACAACGAAAGACCTTGGCATGTAGGCCTCAAGCTCTGTTGGAAACCCCTATATGCTGCAAGTCCATGACGGAGATCATCCCGCTCTCTGTAATAAGGGGAGTAAAAGCTTCGACCAACAGAGATTCTATTCTTCGAAGGATTATCCTTCATTACCAAATCCATCCCCTGTAATATATCACGAGGAATATAGGACAGATTCCCCATTAAGTAATCTTTCAGCTTAGAGAGCTCCAATTGATTTACAAATTTGATTGTAAATAAGTAAGATCGAATGTTAGAATCTTCCCCATCAGACAACTCCACCTTAAATGCTCCAGTGGGAAGAGTTACTGCGCTGAAAATGTTCTTTTCACCATCATAAACAGTCTTCAACAAGGGAAACCGACTATCACCAGAAGAAAATAGCTTGTCCCTAATTAGACGCAAATCAGATTTAGATACTGATTTTTTCACAAAACGATCCCCAGGGGATGCCACAGGCTTAACATCCACATCATAGTGAATTATGGTTGCATTTGGGTTAAAATTGACAGGGAAATGGTTAACATGAAGCGGGATGGTCCTGATGGCAAGTGACCCTCCACGATCAGGCCTTTCTATAGGCATGGTTCTGTTCTCAGTACTCTCAGACGGAGATGATATAGGCTGCCTCTCTGAAATCTTCAAGGATTGGATATCAACTACACAAGACAACATACAACAATTTTATAAAAAGGTTAAGAGTTCCAAACTTGTTATATGGCATGCAGAAACGACATCTACTATAGTTAAAAGCTAATATCATTAACTGATTAAAGAGTGCTCATCTCCATGGCAAGAATAAGCATTACACCATTCAAAATTGAACTAGATTATTTAGTTTTCCTATTCTATTCATAGCAGCAAAGATTTTCATAAAACCCCCATTTGTTAGTTTTTTCTTAAATTTTTCTCTCAACCATGAAAAAGTTCATTTTTGCCCAAAAAACTCAAATCACCAAATAAAGTCGAAACACGATCCATCTTCAATTGACATATAGGCAACAATGTGTTGCAAAATTGAAGTCTCCTAATAGCCAATCTCAGGAAGACAAATCAGCAAAGATTAAAAAATTTAAAATATGAAACTATATACACGAGATCTAAAGACACGGCTTTGGATCATTAAGGGATCGTACCGGCAGATGATTGAGAGGGGCGCTGAGGCTGAAGCTGAGTTTGAGGCTTAGAAGTTGATGAAGCAGAGGTAGATGGACCCCAGTGTCTTCCAGTCCACGTTCTTCCCGGAGGATTAGGCCCCACACCGACCTGCATTGGCTGCTGTGCCGGCCTTTGAACTCCGATACCACTTCCCTGGCCCTGATCTGGTTGTTCTGGCCTGTTGCCCCACGCCCGCGGAGCCGGCGGTGGGTTGACTTGAGACCCACCAGCACCACCTTGATACGCCTGAACCGGCGGCCTGTTGACCCAATGCTGCTGAACCGGAGTCTGATATTGAGTACCCTGCGGGGCCCTGCCCCTCCCTCTTCCACCACCGTGACCACCTCTGCCGCCGGCACGTCCACAGGAAGCACCACCACCACGCCGGCCAAAGTTATTTCTGCCACCACCGTCCATTCTCTCAATGTAACTGTAAATCTCTCTACTCTCTTTAACTCTTAACAAGCAAATGATCTGTGAAGGTCAAGTTGAGGGACTAAGGTCCTTTTTATACACGGCTAGAGCTCGGGACGAAAAGACCCATAAGGGCTTAGCTTAGCTATTGAGATTCAAAAACAAGTCGAGTCAGAAACGAAGTGTTAGGGTAGAAAGGTAATAAGAGTGAGCACGTACGAGGAAGATTAGAGAATGATCAAGAAAATGGAGAAGAAAGGCGGAGGAAGATACGGAGCAGGTGACCCACGTCACCCAAACGGATAAATTGCATCGGTGATTATTCGACTTTCTATATAATTTTAATTAGGTAATAAAATATATCAAATGTTACATAGTTCACCCTTTCATGCAAATGAAATTAGTCGTTCACTTTTAATTTTTTTACTTTGTTATCTTTGTTCACAAGGTATCTATGCCTATAATGAAATTTGTAGACAATTTATTCTTACTAATGAAGTTGCAATGAAATAAAATTAGTCTAAATATTACGTTCTAAAATTTTTTGACTCGATTCGTGTCTACGTGTTATATTATAAGAAACAATCTTTATCCATAATAGCACGTTGATGTTACAGTTTATTGAATGTCCAATTGTAATTAAGTACATTAAAACTGTAAAATGAATTTTAAGCTCCTGTTTGGTTTCCATTATTGAATGCAAGAATGATTTCTTTGACCATTTTTTTCCAACAGGTAAATCTCATTATGAGATAGAAAGTGATAAAAAGGGCTCTCACCTTTGCAACGGTCCTAAAATCCATCAAAATGAGGTAAAAAAATCGGAAATAAACATGGGCTAGATTTTTTTTTCATCTTCCACCAATGATCATCGAGTGAATAACGAAATAAGTCGATGGAGGGGGTTCTATGAAGCCGTGTAGGACTATGAATAGGAATTGGTTTTTATGCATTATAATTCCAAGTTCCATTAGATATATTAAATTGGCAGTTAAATTGAAGTGAAGTGACCCAATTAGAATTATGATGAAAGTTGCATGACCCGTACTAAAATTTACTCTCCACTTAAACTTAGTGGGTCCCAAAGTTCCTCAGTTTGTTTCAAACGGTTATTTCCGTTTGAAAAAACAAAAAATATTTCAATCAACCAAAATTAGATTAATTCCAAAACTTAAAAAAGAATAATAAGATTAATTCCTTGTTAGGTTACCATACGATGATACAAATTTTTGGAATCTAAAACTATCCATTCAGAGAATAATAAATAAAATTCGTATGCTATGAAAATTATTCAACATTAACGTTGTGGAATTTCAAATAGCAGTCGATATACGACGTCTTAATGATTCGATTTTAAGAATTATTTCTATTCGAACTAATGTTTGTTTCGGAATTTAATATTTAAGTCTCATAAAACAAAATTATTTAATAATACCTATAACCTATTAATTTATATTTTGTCTTAATATTAATATAGTCATTATCAGTGAAAGCAACATCTAACTGAATCATTATAAAAATGAAGAAAAGTTTAACAAGTCGACAAACTTTTGGAATTCTGACTACGGGGAAGTGGGAATAGATAACTTCTTTTCCAGGGATGGCACGAGAGCATATGAGCCCCAACTTTTGGGCAAAAAATTTTTTAAGCAATTTTTTTTTAACCATCAATAACGGGGCGTCCTCAATTAAGATTATGATGAATTTTAAAAAAACTTCAAAATTTAAGAGTCGTCTATTGAGATTTTAATGAAAACCATTAAAATTTGTGTCCCCAATTTAAGATTTAAGTAAAATTCAATAAAATCCTTTAATATTTAGATATTTTCAATAATCAGTGAATTTATAAAGATTTTGGAGGGTTTTCCTAATTGAGATTGTGATAGATTTTAAATCTTTGACGTCTTCAATTAAGATTTTAATGAAATCTTTTAAAATTTAGGTATATTCAATAATTAGTGGATTTATAAAAATTTCATTAATAGAATAATTTTAAAAGATTTGAATAAATTTCAAGCTTAAAAATATATATAAACAAATCTTTCAAAACCCCCGCATCTGATGAGATTCTTATGGAATTTGTAAGAATCTATTCAAATCCACAAAATTTATTAGAATTTATAATCCTTTAAAATTCATTTAAATCTTAGTTGAAAACACCCGTTCATTAATAGATGGATTTTAAAAATTTTGGATGGATTTCAAGCTAAAAAATACATACAATCAAATCTTTTGAAAATTCATCATATTTGATAAGATTCTTATGGAATTTGTAGAAATTTATTAAAATTCAATAGGATTTATAATATTTTAAAATCCATCAAAATCTTATTTGATGACACTCTTGTAAATTTTCTCTGTTTTTGTTTCAATTTTTGAAGTCATTATGAGATGTCAAATGAAATCGAAATTTAGCATTCTTAATATCATTTCAAAATGCTCACGACTTAGTTTTTTACGTCATTAATGACGTATGAAACATACTCCAACCGTAGCAGATGTTATGGCTTGTTAAAGTGGACCATTCTAAACTAGAATTTCGATAACATGCTAATTTTAAAAATTCTTTAACAATCATACATTAGCCGCATTCACAAATCGTCTATATCATCTCGAAACTCGTATCGAGAATTATATCATAGACATATTGGATGTAAATTTACATGGGGTATTTTTTTATGTAAATTTTCGAATGTAGAATTCCTCACAACTTTTTTGCAAGTTTAATTGTGGCTCTCTTATTCAAAATGTCTGCATCCACCACTACTTTTTTGAGTCTTCTCTTAAAATAAATTTGAACACGCAAAATGTTTACTATTATTATTACTGAAAATTAAATATTAATTTTAAATAAACATTTATAATTATTACTCATTATTATATATATGACTTTTTGGATCCATTGCTGCTATGTATAGAACGGATACTTGCAAGGAATCAATAAGGGTGTGTTTGATTACATTTATTTTCCATGGAAAATATCAATTTTCCATCCAAATTCCTACTTGGAGTGTTTGATTGCTATTTTTTTTCCATGGAAAACATTTTCCAACTTTTGAAAATATGCCTAATTTTCCTTGTTTTTAAGAAAAATATTTTCCTTGGGTAGATGTGGTTTTTATTTTCCACAAAAAATGGAAAATATTTTCTTTTCTAGGTGATATTTTCCATGTCAATCAAAATTTTCTTTTTTAGGTGATATTTTCCATGTCAATCAAACACACTCTAAATGTACATTTTCTAGCAGGTCCTTTCTCCACTTATTACATGCACTACAAAATATCATTAGTATATTGTACTCAAAGTTAGGTTAGAAGAAAATGAGTTTCTTGTTACACACATCTTATTATTGGATACTATTTCAATGGCGCCCTTGACTCTCAAAACACACGAATATGTTCAAAATATAAGTGATCTATTACACAAATTTGGGAACTTAATTGAAAGAACCGAATAAGATCACATGGAACATGAAGTTCGAGGTTTGGTTCCATTTTTATAATACTCACTCGTAATACCTTGTTCAATTCGATTCTCTTAAGAATCGGGCAGCCCCCACACCTACTTTTATTTGATTATTTTCAACTAATGATTTTTTTAGGAAAAAAAAAACTATTATTGTTCAATTCGATTCTCTTAAGAATCGGGCAGCCCCCACACCTACTTTTATTTGATTATTTTCAACTAATGATTTTTTTAGGAAAAAAAACTATTATTTATTTTTTATAAATTCAATAACCTGTGTATAAATTCCACAATCAATCAGCTTTTTCCTAGAATGGCAAGCTTTACTTCTCTCTCAAAGTTTAATTTCAAATTAACCGTTTTATGGAGGCAGTGACTTGAACAATTGTTAGTTCATGGTTGGAAGGTTTCATAAATTTGTGATGATTTTTTGTCCTGCTAGAACTCAAGAAGGAGAAAATCATAAAGATATTTGATGATTAAATTGTTGGAATATGGAAGCAGAATTTCTCAGAAACTGAAAAAATTTATTTAATTCAATAAGTAAGATTATCTATGTTACATCAAGAATAAAGGATTTGATTTTTTTTTACCTAAATTCGATAGTCAACTTTTGAACTAATTTCGAATCACGAACTTCTAGTTTTTTGGATCACGACCTTTCAGCATTTTAATTCCAAAAAGTTAATGTTTCAAACCTTCAAGTCTTCTATGACATTCTCCAAAGTCAAGACTATATCGGTAGGTGAGCAATTTTTTTAATTAAATCAAGAAACTAATTATTAGATTGGACAATTGAATAAAGCAAGAAAATAAAATTTTCTCTTTTCTCTCTTCAAATTTGAATAATATGGAATTATGTATTTATGATTATTGTACTAAGATGCCTAGATTCCATCTAATCTCTAGTTATGAAAATAGAATAGTTCTAATCCTTGTACAGTAATATTTCCACATTCAAATATGTGTTTTAATTAAAATTCAAGTAGAAATTTTAATTAAATCCAACTTCAATTAATTTATATTTAACTACATATGTAGTTCTAGAACTTCAAGAACCTAAGAACCATTATTAAAGCCTTTCAATAATCATGGTTTGGATTACTTGTGAATTTACTAATTTTATTCACAATAAATTTTATGCCTGGTCAAGTGCAGTTCATAATGTACATTAAACTGCCCATAACCTGTTAACACTTTAGTTTGTGACATACATTCGCCTGTATTCTTAACTAAGTGTAAACTTGTGTCAATAGGGATTTCCACAAGACATTCCTCAAGTGCATTATGCTTTTTAATTATAATGTAGAGAGATTGACAAAATATAATTTCTTTCGATGTTCAAGAAATCTTAATTCCTAATATCACATCAGCCACACTCAAGTCTTTCATCTCAAAATGTTTCATTAACGTTTTCTTGGTGTTTATCCTTATTTTGTTACTAGTGGCCAATTGACATGTCGTTTATATACAAACATACAATCACATAGGCTTTTAGTGTATGTTTGATGTATATAAACTTGTCACATTTATTTATCTTAAATCCATTTGACAACATTAATTTGTCAAACTTTTTGTGTCATGATTTAGGAGCTTGTTTTAATACATACAAATCTTTTGCTTGCGATTAGGAGAGACGAAACCTTTGGATTATTCCATGTATATCTTATCTTCTAACTTATCATTAAGAAATGTCATTTTTATATCCATTTGATGAATATTAAGGTTATGTAATGCAACAATAGCAATTAAAAACCTTATCAAAGTGATTTCAG